TATATATATATATATTGAATTAGTAGAAAGAAACAACTAAACTCACAGAGAACCAACCACTAGCATATATTTAAGGATTCTGAAAAGCATTTCTTCTCTATCAATCTCTATCAATATACAAAATACCACGACTGTCAATTAACATGTGCGTCAAATTAGCCACTGCATTTCCCAGTGGAATTTAATGGCAAAACCAAATCAGCAATCCACCAGAACCGAGAAGTGAAGAGACAAATAAGACAAATGCAAAAGTAGTGCCGTATAAGCAGGGATGCAAGGGCTGTTGGTTTTAAACTTTTATCCTTTGACTTCCCGACTTCAAAGTACGTTCTGCTAATTGCCAACTTTTTTTATTTCGTTTATTTGCGAAACTTCTTTCAGTTTTCCGGGAAATGTGTAGGATAACGAAGAGCAAAAAACCACCACTGTCAGAGACGGAGGGTGACGCTGGCGCTGGCTTCCTTGCTTACGGTTGTCGGCGAATGAACGAAGTCCGCTCTCAACCGATTCCAGATCAAATGATTTTCACGGAGGTCGGTTCGCAATTTGTCGCCGATGAAAAAGACATCCAGTTTCGTAGAATATCTATGCAGTTTAATTTTAAAGTATTAAAGTTTTAAGTATTTAAAAGTATTTTTATTATTTTTGTTTTAAGTACCTAGGGCCATGGATCCGATCAACTCCAGGCGAATGCCGGAATAGTACCCTACCAAATGGGCCACGGACATCGCGCGATCTTTCCTCCACATTCTCGATCCTGTCCTCACCCCTTACACTCACTCACACTTATATTCCCTGCACTTCCATACAAGTCGGGTGACTGGTCGGGAGCTTAGAACTGGTCGCGGCTGGGGCGGTGCCTTTTTGGTGGGAGATACTTGGTGTAGGGAAAACCCGTTAGCCGACGGTCGGTGCCGGATCTTACGAACCAGCGGGGGAAGATCACCACAAAAAACAATCCCCAAAAAACAGTTCACGCGCCCAGAGGCATTAGTAGTCAATCAAAATATATATATATAGATATATATATATATATATATTTATAATATATATATATATAATATATATCAATAATATTGAGTCATGGACATGGAAATCATTTAGTGGCATTTCCAAAATTGAAAGAGAAACATATTAACAAAAGACTCGAAGCCGGATCTGACAAGGCGGTATAGAAAATTGCTTTGAATTGGTGAATTTTCTTTCCTTAATATGATTTGTTATAATTTTAAAATTAAATAATCAATACCCAATAAAACATTTAAGTACAGATTTCTAAAAATATCGTTTTTTTAATACGTAAAATATAATCAATGTGTCGTTTCAAAAAGTATTAAAAGGAAGTAGGCGTGTCACTTACCGCCACCCTCTCCCTGAATTTACCATTTCCCTTAGATATTTTATTTCAGTAGACCTTTTTAGGCCACTTTTGCGAGAGGTTATGCATTGTCGGTGCTCATTCTGTTACCTTTGCACGTTTGCCACGGAGACGAAAGGAGGAGGCTCATGAAGCTGCTTTGTTTGGCCGCCTTTTGTTCCCATTTTCCTTTTCCCGGAGGCGGCCATCCAAAAAGTGACGTGCAAACATATTTAACACGAAATTGGATTCCATTGGCCTTATTAGCTCTTTTAGTTTACCTCCTACATTCCTTGGAAATTATACATTTCTTTTGAGTTGTACACTTATCTCATCACAAACGAAACATTTTACATTATCTACAGTCCCGTATTAAATTGGAGGCTCTGTGTACCAAAGTGTTAATCTAAATATAAATGCAAAGTTAACATTATTTTTTTATTAATCTTGAAAATAAATAACAAAATAGATTTTGGAAAAATAAGGTGTCTCAGGTATTCCTGGGTTGTGAAGATATTTATCCTAATACCAGTGTCAAATAATGGAGTATAATCTACTTACATTATCCATATTGTGATGTCTATTTGAAATGTATTAAGGCTTTATCGAATCTCCAACATTAGTTCCAAATGTATACGGTTGCACTCTGAGATGAATTCCCCACCCGAGATTCATGACCATATTTTCCCGATTAAATATTTCACCGGTAATTGTATTTTTTGGGAGGCGTAAAGTTATGAAGCTTCGCCTATGCAGTATTTTGTAGGAAAAATAAACTGTTTATTTCGCATAAGTAATGATGATAAAAGATTTACTTCACGAAAAATTAAATTTTAATTTTAGAAAAATAATATATCCTTTGTAAATAAAGACAGACATCAATCAGAAAATAGTTCAAAGACGAGCAAAGAAGAAAAACAGATGAAATAGCGTGAAATGCAAACCAAGAAGAGAAACACATTTAGTGTGCATGTCTAGTTGCATGTTTAGGAAAAATGAAATGAAGTAAATTGACTAAAATAAGTGGGCACTAAGAAGTGCTAGAGAATGGTGTCATGATAACTAAGACAGAATAATTGAAACATGCTAGGGAACGAATGTGTAGGGATCTGGTCAGAGAGTAGTAAAACAAAACTTTTAATTCGCTACAATGCAGTAATAATGTCCACAATTAAGTCCACAACTGTAAACATTATATAAGCAATGATTTTTGTTATGTTAGTTTAATAAATAATAATTCTGAATCCGCGAATACGTGGGTGAATGCAATAAAGATGAAATCGTCATCAGGCTGATCGTCGATGTTGTTAGATCTAAAGGGAAGTAAGATGAACTTGAAACACCATTGTAACAAGATCAAATATAGTTTTATTTAATGGCTAGATAATGTTTTGCATATCGACTCTGGAATATTCTAAGTTACGCATGGCGAATATATTCTCTGAAAAAGCTAAAAGAATGTAGGTAAATATTGACTTTTGTAGCGTTACTTTTGTTGCTTGTCATTATAGAATGTTAAATGCAAGGCATAATATGTTCACATACAACAATTGGTAATTATTGTGAGACTTAATTCACATTGGTGCCCTGCATTCTAATTTCAAACATTGGCTATGGCCCCCGTTGACGCTAAGAGAGGCGAGCGAGAAGAAGAGGACTCACTTTCCGATGGCTTCGCCGTCCAAGGTCTTGGGGTCGCGGTTGTCCACGATGACGAGGTCGTGGCAGCGGCTCTGGAAGGCATCCACGCACGAAGCCGAGTTGCGCGCCAGGCTGCACTCGTAGCCCAGCTGCCCCGCCGCGCCGCGCAGCGCCGCCACCGTCGCGTCGTCCTTTGCGAACACCAGCAGCACCTGCGCACACCCGCCACTGTCACTCGACCGGCAGACTTCACGTCTGCGACCGCACACTGGACACCAGCGCACGTGCGGGCTCCTCTCAGCTGGGGTCAGGCAACTTGAGGCCCTCCGCAACAACACACGCATGAGAGACACCGGACAAGCAGCCATGCGCAAGTCGGAACTCGAACCCGCGACCCTTCGGAGCAGAGTGTTGAGTCGGTCACGCTCTTAGCTACCTCGGCCATCCAGGGCGGCTGCTGCACAACTATACTCAGATTCGAAACAGGAAGTCCTTCTCTCGGTCACGAGCTGGCAGGAGAGGGGGACACTGTCATCGAATCGCGAGCTTCGTTACGATTTAAATTTCTAGTTTCGAAGTTCCCGATTGGATGCCAGTGTAACTCTCGCTTTTCAACCCAGCACCTTGAAAGGACTCCGTGATTTAACCGAAGCATATTGGAGAGACAGAGGAGGTGACGGCATGCAAGACATGTCTCTCCCCCACTTCAACATTTTCTTTTGTATTTTGACTCAATGTATTACAAATACTGCTACCTATATTCAAAATAAAAATGTATTCAAAACTTGAATCTACTTTTGTCATTTCAAGCTTAGTTTTTTCATGAATTTTAGTATTCAACAAATATTTAGAGGAGGCAAATTAAAATGTCCTCCCGCTCCCTGAAATACTTTTTCTATCCGCACCTACAGAGCATGAACTGAAAGTGAACACATAGATACCACTTATCGGGTTGTAATACTTTGTTATTTGGTTTAAGAATCGGTCATGCAGCTGATGAATTACCCGATTATAATTCGCGTAACGAACGCGAAAGAGACCGGCTGCGATGACCTCAGAATCTCCATTGTCGCAGTCATTGCAGTGACTTTGGCTGAAATCTGATGTAAAATCCTTTTTTATAAGGACATGGTCAATTTTGTTTTGTTAACTAAGTAGAAGCCTAAATATCACTTGACTTGTTACTCTATTTAAACGAAAATAGCATTCAATAAATAACACAGAGAAAATTTTCTACATACAATACGTTCTTGTAAACATACCACAATTTCCAGAGAAGCTTCATCAAAAGAATCCCAATCTCCTGTCCCTCGTGGGTTGCTCTTTGTTCTTCGATATCACGTTCATATTCTTGTGTAGACTCACAAAGTCGTCAAGTTTCTTTCATCTCTACAGTAAGATTTGAAAAGATTTTTTCAAAGCATATTGATCATGACGCGACGCGGAAGTCTCAAAGATTTCAGAATGTTTTCAAAAATTCACATAAGGTCGACGCACGTCATTCTTAATATGATTCATGTTGAATTACTTTTATTCTTAACCGCTGAAGTACTCTGCGTTGTAAGATATTTAATAATCTTAATAATTTGTTAGATAGGAAACTGAATGAATTCTACGTTTGGTGAATTAGCGCTGAGCCTGCGCCGCTACCCCCTCCGACTCCTCCCGCCACGCCATTCCTACCGTCCCCGCCCCTCTGCCCAGAACCACCCACTCCCTTCCAAACCTGCCCATCGGGACTCACTTGCTCCACTTTATCCCTTCCCGCCTGCTATGTTTGCTACGATTGTTTGCTATGGGCAGCAGTAACATGAATTGTTGCGTACTTCCGGCAAACATCCATTAACAATTTTGGCTTTCAATTACTGTGAGCATGATTGCGCTATTGAAGTTGTTCAAAAGGTATTTAAAAAGAAAATTTATGAGGTTTCAGAAACGATTGGTGGACACTCCTTAATGCACTCACTGTTTTAAAGATATATGTAATTCTTTAAATAATTAAATTTTGCTCCAAAATTCAGAAAAATCGGATATCAATAGTTTTGTACGAAAAAAATCTCACGTACTGTTATCTTTTCAAAATTTTACTATGACCAGAATAAAATTTCATATTTATATGATAAACAAACCTTCTTTATACGAGAGAAAAAATAATCAAAACACTAAATTATGACCGAAAAAACATTCTACCATTTAGTTCAAATCATATCGAAATCAGTTCAACCGTTTCAGCAATTACCTCAAAAAAAGACAGACGAAGATACTAAAATCGCAAAATAGGGGAAATGGGTTTTTATATCATCTAAGTAAGCATATGAGATCGTGAAAAGGTATTTATTTTGAAATCAGAGCCCCTGTTCTTTGTCCTCGATAGATAGGTAGATAGATAGACAGATAGATATAGATTGATAGAAATACACACACATATAAGAGAAAGAGATAGATAGAATAGAAAGAGAGAGAGAAACACCAGAAAACATTGTTACACTAATGATCTGTAACAAGGAGGAATGGACAGAAATAGAGAAATATATCACCGCCATTCTCAAGAAGAAGGAAGAAGACGAAAGAAACCAGTCATAGCTGACTCTGAAGAGCACCTCGAAATAATACAACTGTTACCATCCTGAATTAATGAATAATTGCGGTGCCAGGGTAGATAACGCCAGGAACATAAAGGGTTTGTGGTTTTAGTGGGTAAAAATTTCACACCGTTGAGGGTTCCTCTTCGTCCTTTGAAGATTTACACAGTTCCCCTCGCAAAAAAATAGATAGACACACTGATAGTCAGACAGACTCATAGATAGAAGATTCACAATGAACTATGGTTAATAATGTACAACCATCATGTAATGGTGGATATTAACACATGAGTATGTTGTGGTGTATTGCGACCGGAGCGAGGAAGAAGCAATTACATCAAGTTTCATACTGCACGTGTTATTCGACAAATAATAATTATCATCAGTTGAACTGAGTTATAGTGTCTGCCTTTCTCGTACTTCTGTGTTTTTAATACAATGTATGATTTACGTACGTTCATCATTTTAATATTTTGCTCTGTGCAGTCACAATGAGCGGGTCGTCTCATTATTACAAAATTTTTAGTAAGACTATAACCAATAATTAATGCTTCCTTTGAGGACTTCTCTCTGATTTGTAAAATACATTTTCTAGAATGAAGCTGTATCATAATGACTACCATTATGCAACGAACTGTGAACATTTTTAAGAAGATTACGAGAGTAGAGGTTTTTTGAGAGAAGAAAAAATACAATTCTGTCCGTAAGTTCTAATTCAGTTGGTGAAATTCATACTTCTTTGAAGAGCATCTGAACCCAAAAGGGAGATTTCATAACGAAGAAAGATCACAATGAATGGATGAGATCAGCGTTGTTGAATATTCGGACAACTTACATAATTCTTTTGTAAGGATGGCTTTTTACACTTGTGCAGCTATCTTCAGGACGATTTGGAGTAGGAAGTGTCAAAATAATGATTATCATTGATTGATTATGACATGCGTCTGATAACAATGAACGAATCTTTATTTCCTATTTACGTAATTCTTCTTCTAATCTGTTGCCTCTTTTTTATTCATGGAGGTATTGTCAGGTACCTTCACATCAGTTCTGAACATCTATTACATATTACATCTTTCTTCATAATTTAGGTCCCACCAAGGTATAAATATTAGATAGCATACTCGTAACATTTCTAGACCACCACATCCACTTCCTATTTCCAAGTTATGACTTTATAAAAATATTAATACTTAACAGAACATTAAAGATCCATAACATTTGTGGAGTTAATTTTTAAGGGTCCCAATTCAATCGGAATGTAAGCATTACAATTTATGAATTCTGAATAATGTTTATGTGAATTACATATTTAGAAAATGTGTCCAAAAAGAGAAGATTAAAGAATGAGTAAGCGCTTTCTTTTAGACACATTCAATTCCGCTTATTACGCTTGTAACCATGTCCCTTCCCCCGTTCACTATTCCATCAAATTATTGCATCTCGCATTTCTTGGAATAATATCAGAAAAACAACAGTGTAGTGAAAACTATTATCCTTATTGAGTTACAATACACTGAAGAGATAAAAAACTGGTTCAGCGCTGTCTATTGAAATAGTGATCTGGAACCAATCAGAATATGGCACTCCTGTCAGAGACAACTATATACTCGTAAGACAACCAGAGACTGACACAGTTGTTAGATCGGTTACTGCTTCTACAATTGCAGGTTATCACGATTAAAGTGAGTTTGAACGTGGTGTTCTAGTCGTCCCAAGAGAGATAAGGCACAGCATCACTGAGGTCGCGATGAAATTTGGATTTTCCCGTTCGACCACTTCACGAATATATAAAAATACATTTCACGATTGTTGTTTACACAGTACAAATACTTTTTATTTTTTTAAACGGTCTAATATTTTTTTTAATTCTCAACCGTCCTTTTCTTTATTGCTACAACCAAGAAAATATTTTATCGTTTCAATTCCCATATGACAAAAAAGTCAATTGGCGGTTGGTCACGGTCAAAAAACAACTTTTATGGATACACAAATTTTTACAGAAGCTCAGTCAGATCATGTGTCACGTTACAAAATGGATATTTATGAATGGTTACGTTTTCAAAGATACAAACCATCGGAATCGATTGTGTAACAAAATATGGTTCATTGCAGGCTCGACCTCAACACTTCAATGGAGAAATTATTTCCTTAGTCTTCTTAAAGTGATATTTCTCAACGATACAATTATGTGAACAAAATTGTATTTCGTATTTATTATTAAGCATAAATCTGAAGGAAGTACGAAAATTACTATTTAGTATTTCAATGTCCAGAATGACTAAGCCCTTTCCTCCTCGCAGTGTTTCAAGCGTTGCAGACGGAGACATTCACCTAATCTGCTTTTCCCAACTTCACCGACTTCGCCTCCCTCCTGAAGGCGCGCGCTCGCTTGGAATTTCCGCTCGGGCTGACAATACGCCGGTCAACATCCCCTTGCAAATTGTCGCTTACAGATCTCTCTGCTCGGCGTTGCGACCAACAGCCAACCGGGAATGGCTTATCTCCCGCGCAGTGCGCCCAGCTTCCATGGCGAATCGCCCCTTTCATTCCTTGAAAAGCCGCTGGGATCATTCGACGCGCTTCACAATTTATCGTGAATGCTCCCGCAGTGAGAGATTAGAAAACAC